CTCCGGGCAGGGGTTATCGCCGGCGACTGACAGGTGGAAGGAAAATCCGCGGCCAAGAAAAACCTGCTCTCTTCCGGCTCATACTCCTCACTGGTACTAACTCCACACTCCCAGAGGCGATTTGCAAGGAAGAGAATTTCTGTAAATTGCTTTCAACTTCTGATAACTTCTATCAACTTCTTGCGGTGAATGGAATGTAGGTGGTGAATGAGAAGATTACTAAGAAGACTTGTTATTCACTTGTATCATTGACATAAATATGCCTCACTTCTGCGAAGATCCTACCCTCCTGCAAAGTAAATTATATCTCAATTACAGAAATGAACCAACCTCTAGCCATTTAATCTATAGCATATTATATCATACAAAAGCCAATCTTCTACGTACCCCTGAAGCTCAGTTCACAGCCATGAAGGCCCATTTACTAGCGCTTTACACCACTAACCACGGTGAAATGTTTCCGGTTTGAGCAATGGGCCAGTTGACAGGGGTGTGGTCTCCGAAGGCCGCATGGCCTTCGGCAATTGTCATTGGATTTTTCCACGTTTGCTATGTAGATATTCTATTCTTTAGATGTAAAAACTTAAAGTCTGTGATAGACAATTCGATTGGTGAAAGTCATATATCTTTAGACAATCCAAATCAAAGACAAAGAAATAACAATTTGGCAAGAAGACAAGAGCATGTTCAGGCCTGTCTCGCAACTCTCACTCAACACTGCCCTACCATTCAGGCGCTACTCTGGACGTCTGACTCTGTAATGGAGATATGCCCACTCCAGTCACTGTTTTATTACAGGGTCGTTTCGACCTGCCCACATGATGCAGTGACCTTTTCAAGGATCCAACCCGCTTCTTCATCGGGCGCCTGTCTATGTCGGACCGGTGAAAGTCTATGATCAGGACCCGGCGCAGCTCATCATTCCATAACATGTTGGCAGACCGCAGGTCTTTATGTACCACTCCCAGCATGCGGATTTCCTTCTTTGACTGGGAAATCTCACGACTTAGCACTTCCTTGTCTTTGACGTTCTCTATACTTTCCCCCGCCCAACCCATGAGAAGCATATGGCGGATGTCCCCAGCACCATGGAGGAAAAGGAACAATTTCAAATCAATAGTCCCTAGAAATACAGGGACAGCAGAGCCCTGTGCTTTCTGAAGAACCCGGTATATTTCTGCTTCACGTGAGACAACTTTCCATAACCCGACTGTTGTCCCCTTTCCAACAAGGGTGTAGCCGTATGCAGCACAAGTGATCTTGAAGGGTGCACCATATGATCCACAAGTCCCAAATGGAGTGCAGTTATGATCAAGGTCACGATCGAGTTGTTCATTCAGTATTTGTACAAGCTTCCTTGCATCGATACAGTGTTGATCATCATTCTGGCCTCGCCGGTGGAGAGAAACATTAGGGCATTGATGGTCCAATTTACCTCCTTGTTGCAAACCCAATAAGCATCGCTGCGTACAGTAACGTGCCGTGTGTTGGCTCTGGCCGCTCGATGGCCTAGGACCTACTGGGCGCGCCGATGAACGCTGGCTGGGCGGGGAGGACATCACTTGGCTGAAGCCCCGCTTCCGGCCGTGCGCTGCTTGGTTAGAGTCGGAGTCAGAAGAATCCATATGATCACTCAAAGGCGAGTTATCCATTGGTGCACAGGTGGTTTGAGATCGGGTAGAAACTCGATGGCCGGGCTGTAATGGAGACGATGGCAGATGTTCAGAGGGCATATATTCCGAACTTGCATATTCTGATCCTGGAGGAGTCTGTTGCAGCTCATCATCGGGGATTTGTGACCGTGTAAAGTCAAAACTTGTCTTCCATATATGGAGCTGGGATCTTGCAGCATTACACCACTTCTGGTCACGGATATCCGAGAGAAAGGACATCAGACAGAGACATAATATTCTGGCAATAGCTGTCTTTGACTGATAAAAGACCCCAGGATTTTCTGAAATCACATCCATGTTTGGTTCACAGAGATAGTAATAGAGTGTACTAGGGTCACTGTATGGAACACGAAGAAGAATGATAGCAAATCCATTAGTTATGTAGGAGTACTCCAGTCCAGCTTGGATCATGACATGATACTCTTGAACCAAAACTGAGCAAGTCAGCTGTTCTGCATTATATCTCAGCTTTTCATCCTTGTTCAGCTCATCACTCTTGGGGATTGTGTCTGACTGAACAATCTCTTCCCAGAGCTTCATCGATCGTAGACCCGCTCGGAGATTTTCAACTGAGAGCTTGTGTGGCGGCTTATACTCGACTGTCATAATCAAAGTATTGGTGGAATCGTTGATCCGATGAATACAGAATGAATCTGATTTGGGATTTTTTGTGCTGGATTCATCCAGCAGCTGTACATCTGACTCTTCTGATGTCTGTAGAAGATTTCCATGATTTTCAAACAGGATCCCATCTCCAAGCCGGAATCTCTCTCGGGCATCAGGTATTTTGCATAGCTCGGCTATGATATCATGGACATGATCTTCCACAGCGGTTCGCTCGTAGTGTTCCAGATCCTTTTCACTTCGTAGTTTTCGGCTAGAATACCGCCGACCAAGTTCATTTAGTACAAGGAGAGATGTGAATAGCCTAGGTGCATCTTTTTCAGCTGGTTGAAGGTAAGTGGAAACTGATTCATAAATTTCTTGCAGTTGAACCGGGCAACTTGACCAATGACGAAGGCTCGTTGGGCAGTATTTCCCAGTGGGTGGTGGAATACTCCCCTTCGTGGAGCGGGATGGCGTTCCAACCTGCAAAGGCCGGGAGAATGAATCATGACAACCTCTGATGAGCTCTTCGAGTGTTGTTGGCTGGCTGCGCACTTTTACCTCTGCCTCTCGCTCTTCTACCTGCATTCTCAACTCTTCTGCCTCCCTTCGCCACACTGCTTCCCGTGCCCCTCGCTCTTCTGCCTGCCTTCTCAATTCTTCTGCCTGCCTTCGCAACACCGCTTCTCGTGCCTCTCGCTCTTCTGCCTGCCTTCGTTCCGCTTCCGCTCTAAGGAAGAGAGCCTTGTAATCTGGTGAACTGTCATCGGCCATTAGAGAGGGATAAAAGAGTTATATCAAAAAAAATTAAAATTGGGTACCAGGAATTTAGTGGCTAGAAGCGATAATCCTGAGGTGGTCGGAACAGGAGACGAGATATAGTGCCAGCCGTGTCGCCCAAAATAACACGGATCAACGTTTACCCGCGCCAAACGTCATAGTGATACAGCATCAATGTTTTCGTCTTATCTATTCCGTTTTGCACAACCCCGGAGGCAGCCCGCTTTGCCGACTTATACTTGTAGTCAAAAAGTAATGGTTGGTATATGTTTGGATGGGGTCGGATGCGATATTGCTTTAACACGAACTTCCTCCCAGCCACTACAGTGTTGGAGATCACCCTGATGGCTTCTAGGATATATAAGAGTAGACTTATAATGTAAATGATGGGAGGATTCTCTACAATTTCTATGAATCATGACCAAAGAGATATGGAAGCGCATCGCATATTCCAGTTCTCTGCATCTGTGACAGCGACTATCTGCAGTGGAGGCGGCCACGCAGTGTGGTTGGGTTCGATGGTACTTGGGAATACTGGGCGACTTGCTTCATTGAATCAGAAGGTCATCCTATGCCAGATAGGAGTAGGACTTTTAGTATTTGTTGGATCAATCGTGTCGCTTGTCCTCGCTGTCCATGAGCCCATCTACAGGAAGGGTGAGTAGCAGAGCCTCAACTGCTTTTGTCATGTCTAAACGCCTAAGTCTACAGACACTTCGAGACCAATTCTTAAATTGATAGTTGGTTTCACACTTGTGCTGCAAACTGCAAACGAGGTATAATCACTGTGGTTCACCACTCTTTGGCAAGGCTAACTTTTCCAAGTACCTAAGTGTTAGCACACTCCGTTCTCGATTGATTGGTTACTTTGCAATAAGTGTCACTTTTTGGAAGGTCCTCGTGGTGCTCCTGTAAGACTTTGGCTCTTGATAGGTGACTGGGCCTAACATGTGCCTAACACAGATTTTTTGTCAACGGCATTTCTCCAAGGAACCACGATATCCTCTACTCATTGAGTATGGCTGTCACCTCTAGCGAACTCTTTTTCCTCTGTTCTCAGTATATCCAGCTCTGGGTGTCTTGCGTGCGCTCTTCGAACGAAATCTGCAATTTAGAACTTACTCGCACTCATCATGTTTTGATGGTGGCATCTGTAACGGCAGCAATACTCTCTGTAGCCTCAACAACGCTCACCATCGCAGCGTACGTTAGGCAGGATTTTTCGATCCAGTTTTCAACAGTAAGATATTCTGTACCATTCTCATTAATGTAACTAACGACAAGTAGCTTCAAGTCGCAACATTAGGCATAATGCGGATGGTCATCTCACTCTATAAGTTGAATGGCGGTGTTTCCAGGCAAGGATTGGCTCTGAATTCTGCTTGATTGGTGGCCGACCAGGAACAAATAACTAGTGGTTGGTATAATGTTTCGCCGTTGCATTCAGCTTGATAAGATTCTTAACAACAAGATTTGTATGGACCCACATAGTGTATCCTGTTTGAAAAACTGTATGATCTTTGGTAGTTAGTACATGTTTAAACAAAGATTTTAATATCATTGAACTTTCAAATCTGATCTCAATATCTTCTACTTCTGCTGACATTGCATTGTCAGAATCCTCTTTGAGAATAGTTTTGGGCCTGTCGCCCATATATGATTCGCTATGCATTGCTGCCTAAGAGTCATCTGAAAACGAAGCCTGATGAGGAAGAAGCCATGTGATTATTATTTCTCTTCAATCACGCGTTGCGTCAGGCTATGTATTTTGCATAGGCACCCCCACCTTTCCCCGCGACGTCACAAACCTTTTCTTTTTCTCTGTGCCTTTGCCTCTTTTCTGCTCGCAAAAATACGGCACAACGAAAGATTTATGAAATCCAATATTTCATTTCATTGAAAGTGTTGCACTCTACTTACTCCTCAAAAGATTTTGTAACCATGGCGGTAAGTAGATAATTTGATGTATTCTGTTTCCAACTAAATATCTGTTTCCAACTCTAGCTAAATATATTGTTTTCACAGAGAGGTGACATTGCGCTCGCGGGGCAAGAAGAAAAAAACATCCCAAGCCACTTTTTCGATCCGACCGACACCCATAGGAAAATATATTTCATGGTGTTGAGCCGCCTCAGTCATGTGACCACGTGACTAAGTATTCACGTGATCTCATAGTGTATTACATAGCTAGCTAGCTCCCACTCATTAATAACAAGCAACTACGTGTAAGCCTTCAACAGGTTATGGCCCTCTTGTGTTAGAGGCGCGTCAGTTCGATCCAGAACCTCCGAAATTGAGAGCAAGAGCTCTATAGACACTTTTACGGAGATTTCGGTCAGGAATTGGAATTGTTGACCTAACTGGTGCGCTGAGAACGCGTCCGGGCACGGCAAATTCCTCTATCCTACGGCTCGGATGCCACCGACATCATCCACAGGCTACAATACACGTCTAAAGGCACGTATGCAGTCAGAAAAAGACCTGGATATAGGTTACTCAACTGCGGACGAAAGCAACGATATAGAATCCCCACCTGAGACCCCTAGCAGACCACCTACATTCCCACAACAGCCGACCCCCATTACCGTCAAACAGGTAAAGAGACGCGATATGGCTAATGAATCGACAGGACGTTCGACAGGTGGTGGAGAGCCCTCAGGCTCCCACACGCGTCGAACCTCAGATGGCGATGATGTCTCTGAACTGGCAACAACATACAATCGGTTGGTGGCACAGGGGTTCCCAGCAGAGTTGGCCGCACAAGTGGCACAACAGCGATGGGCAGCAAAGATGGGAATCACATTGTCAACGGGTAGCAGCAATAATGGGGGCTCAATGTCTGCCCTTAAAGAATTCAAGGATGAACACGACCACGTCAGCTTGTCGCTGAATGAAAAGCTTGCAGGGGCCTCAAACTTTGAGGCGTTCAAACGCGAAGTTATGGCGAGAGCAGTACTGCTGGAGGCCAACACCATTCTCACCAAATACGAGGAGCAAGCACCCGAGGACTCCACCCCTGATGAGAGCAAGATATGGAGCTATAAGAACAGGCGGATGTGGGAATGTATATGGAATAATATGAAGTCAAATGCCCAGACCCTCGCGCAGTCAAAACTACAGGGTGATGAGGAAACCGGAAAAATGGGGAACACCGCAGCTCTGTGGCGAGCATTGGAACTTGAATACCAGGTTCACGCGGCGGATCACCAAAACACGTTATACAGTCGAATCTCCCATATGAACATCTATTGGCATGGGGGGGATCTCACCCCCTTTGTGCAGGACTGGCGTCAAACAGTTAATGAAATCGCAGCAAAAGCGCTCGTGTCTGCTGACTGCTCCAGATGCGTACCTCCGACAACGCTTTGTGCGCCTAGCGTGTAAGGCACCCACAAT